ATTGGTGGTGATTTTATTAATAGTTTCAATCACAGTATTTACCATTGTCAGGATTCTCTGTCTCTCAACCACAATTGTGACATCTCGTGATGTAAGATCCGCGGTTAATCTTTCCATACGTGCGTCGAGTTCTGCAGTAAGTTGCTGTCTGATGACATATGTAACAGAGCACATGGCAACGAAAATCAGATGGACAGGAATTTTCTCAGCAAACATCATTATTAACACAAAGGCCAAAAATGGTGCAACTTCTGAAACATTGATCGGAGACATCTTTAACGAGAAAAAAAGATTATTATTATAGATACACGAGTGCGGGGGTAATGTACAAACAAATTAATTAGGCTATTGTGATACTGATATCTTATTTTCGAAAAAAATTACAGGTACGTTGTTTTGTTTTAGGAGAATTAGCCGGAGGCTGGCAAATGTCTAATTTTTTTATTGGTTATTGTGATTTATTATTAAAGGCAATTACAAAGTAGCTAGAATGACTTATTGTTTTATTAGCCATGCCCTCTTTGGAGATATTATTATAGAGAAAATGGTAGAGGGGTATACTAAAGATTTTTGAATCCTTTTTATACAATATTAAGATTTCACGTCTTAGAATCTGATTTGTTGTCTTTGTCAGTAAAGGCCAGAACATACTGGAAAAAAAATATTAATTATATTATTATCGCGTTATTATTGATTTATCATCAAAAACATAGGCGTAAATTCTGATTTTGAGAATGGGGACCTGGATCTAGAAACTTAAAAATATACGATCTGAGTAACGTTGAGTAAGATAAGTGATATTTATTAGCTAAAGGGTTGCTTATGCTAAAGCTAGTATATCTGATGAATATTTACAATTTTAACGCTAACCATCACATTAAGATCCCACCAATATACACATATATGTGGATTTTCATACAATTAATAACCGACTTCTGAAATAACATTAGGGTGATACGCGATCTTATTTAGAATTTGACTTTCGTAATGCTACTCAATTTTTGGTTAAGTATCGGATATAATTTTACCACTCCAAGTATATTTAGCGGTAAAGTCATGAATAATCGATCATTGACAAATTTATCCTATTTTATTAGTAAAAGTAGCAAGACTAACATATCATTCCTTATATTATAGAAACTTCGATATATAGACCAAGTACTACGTATATGCTACTAAGAATATGCTAGAAAGTTTGAGCAAAAATATGATAAGTTCGGGTATTATTTTATAGCGATTGATTGATTCATCCAAGACACACATAATATCGCTACCGCATGTGATTTAATAGATCGTGACCCAGACTAAGATTTGCTTATGTTGGATTTACACATGATATCGTCTCTGAGGCCTATTATAACGTGACATGATTTAATTTTGTGATCACAATCTGGACTAACCGATTTTTACGTAATACATTTTTATTATCCATAATTGAAGCATGTGTTTGAATACGAAGTTGATCAAATAGCCAACTGAAAAAATATATATGGCAGATGGGTAAGTCGGCTTTCTTCTCCCTACATTAGATATTTTATATATTCGAATGTATCTTCTCCAAAATTATATGAATCTAGAGGGTTTCCATAATTATAGTCTTCAATATTTGACAATATTGCATTTCTAATTCTTTTACTGAAGATCATATTATTATTTAATAAATACCTTTCTACTTTTACGAGCTCA